ATATTTTTTAATAATAAATTGGTTTAGTCCTACTTACGATGAATTTATTCTCCGGCGATATTGAAACTGTGTTTACTAAAAAGGCACATGTGCTAACTACAACGATCGGCTAACAACTACAGATTTCTGCTTTATGACAAAGATCGTATGCCCGCGTGTGTAATATAATTTTGAAAACGTTGGGTAGATAAAGCTAGTGGTATAGAAAAAAAACATGGTACCCCGTTTTAGGCACCTACCCCGTTTTGCCCGCATATCCCCTAACTAACTAAAAACGTAATTTTTTAAAGGATGAACAAACTAGAGAAGATTATCCAATTTTTCAAAATTTCTAATCGAGTTTGTATTGGAATATGTATTATTGATTACATCTTACAGGTGCAGGCCTCGTAAAATTATGTGAAACACCCTGTATTTCCATCAGAGAATGATGTAAAAGTAGACTGTTATCGTTATATACGAATAACATAAATGCTAATTGACGATTTCGAAAAATCTTTCGGCGATAAAATTTGCGGTGGTGATGGCGTTCGCGGAAGAAGACAAATCTTAACACGAAACTAAAAGGTTTAGCCAAAAACGAGTGATACATTCTGGGGCTCATTTTTTGAGAAAATAATATTTGTTAAAACCGCACTTTCTTATATAGTGTTATAGGTGTTAAAAATTTAGTTTTTTTGTTATTTTAGTGATTTCATTTTAAATTTTTGTGAATTAATTTTTCACGTGTTATATACAGTGTTTCATTTTTATTGTTAGGTACAAATTTAAATACTTGATAGAGTATTTAATTTTAAGACAAAAGTGTTTCGAGAAATGCTATGAAAGGGAGCTACACCCCCTAAAAAAGGTACGTTTTTTAAAGGGTCTTTCCTAATATTTCAGAATAGATAAAATTACAAAATTTGTTTTTTTTAAATGGGAATCATAGATGGCTATGTCATTTTTAAAAAGCTTGTTTTTTTCTTATCTAAAAAATATATGTTTATAACAAATTATTATAACACATTTTTAGCAAAAAATTATCTTTGATTTTTGTTCTCAGTTGGCCATGAAAAAATGTTGCATCTTCAACTAAAAAGATTTAAACTATATTATATTCAACCATTGTCACTAATGAAAGAGTTTTCTAAGTACTAAGTAATGAAAAAGATGCAAAATAAATTGTAAATCAACTTATTGGCGACTAATAACATTTCTTTGTTTTTAAACAAGCTAACATTACCATTGCAACTTCTAGTGATACATAGAGTGTTGTAAAAACAAGCCGCTTTAATTCTTCAATAAAATATATTTTATATGACACAAAAATGACGATATGGCTATTCAAATACCCAAATTCCGTCTATGTGAAACGTTATCCTACCTCCATTAGATCATCAAAAAAATGTTTTTTCTAATTGTGTTGACTGTTGACACATTTGTTTTTCCTATTTTTGGATTTTTTAAAAATATGTAATAATTTTATTCTGAGACGTTCGCATATTTGTTCAATACTTCTAACGTATTGTATTTTTTAATTTTTTTTTAAATTTTATCGATTTTTTCATCTTTTTTACAGTTCACAAAACTCTTATTGATTATTATTTACACATTTGGAGTGAAATAGTTTTTCCATGGCCAACTATTATCACACAAAATATGTATTTCACTTTTTAAGTATAGTTATAAAAAAATATTTTGTTACAAATATATATTTTTTAGATCAGAAAAAAATAAGCTTTTCAAAATTGCCATAGCCGCCTATGATTTCCATTTAGAAAAATACAAGTTTATCTTATTACGGCTAAACTAATAACTGAAAAAAATTGTTAACTACATTATTAAATTCCTCGTAAAAAAGTGCCTGTATAATGTCTTTATTTCAAATCCTATCTTCTATAATAACGAAGATATAAATTTTTTTAGATTTCGTCAAAATGTCAACTTTTGTCTGTAAGTCGAAAACAAAAGACGATAGCGGGATGCGGTTTTAACCAATATTATTTTCTCAAAAAATGAGCCCCAGAATGTATTACTCGTTTTTGGTTAAACCTCTTAGTTTCGGAGATTCCCTATTCGGACATCCAAAATGCAGCACCCTGTACATACAAGGTGATTTACGAGTAATAATGAGTCTGACCAAATTCTTGATGCAAGCACCATTACTTTTCGCAAGTTGCTTTGCGACAAATGTAATGTTGGTTGCATCGAGAATTTGGTCAGGCTCATTATTACTCGTGAATCACCCTGTATGTAACCAGTATTTCGGAACCTGATGTAGTGCTACATGAGCAATTACTTATATCAGCGACAATTTCTTGTTTACTCTCTCATCTGTGATATTAATGCAGTGTCACAGCAGAAGTGGTGTAAACTGATACCCTCATTCTAGACTCTCCAGCTCAAAGTACTGATTTGAATCCGATTGAGCTCTAATGGAACTATATAAGATGAGAAACGTTTGCAACTTACGTCAATTAATCTTAACAATCGTAAAAACAGGTTTGTTGAGATTTAAGGTGTTGTTCACCAAAATTGCATAAGACATTTAATAGGCGATGTAAATACAGATTATATCAAGCAGCAGCTACCGCAAGAGAAGCAAATACGAGTTATTTTTTAACAGTCTTATGTTAATTTTTGAAACGTCCCTGTGTTTCACGTTGTTTTGATAAAAATACAGATTAATGACCATGCTGTAAACTTTAGTCATGTTATATTAAAATTTAGACGACTAGAAATTCGGTTTTACCTGGTTTTGAAAATTATGCTACAATTTTGGTACGAAGTGTATATCAACTTCAATAATTACACAACCCAACAAATTTTATTTTTTTAATGTGATTAACATGTTGACACGAGTATCAGGGTACATAACATCCCTAATTACGAATTTGATAAGAAAAATTTTTCATCACGTACAGATTTTAAGTTACAGGAAAATAGTTTTCTCAAATTTTATCATAAAAATTGTTCATTTCAAATAGAAATTAATTAAATAGACGACGACACAAATTAATTTATTCACTAAACAAGAACAATGTTGAAAGATGTATAAGATTCTAACATAAATCTGTTGCAGATGAGTTTTTTGCAAAAGCTGACTTTCTTTTGTAGGGTGTTTTAACTTCTCTTATCAGGAACCAGCAGTAATCCTCCATCATAGCTGGATCCCATCTCCCTTGGTACCTCTTTTCCTTCGTCAATATATCCTGGTAGAACGTTTCCCCTTGCTCGTCACTAATGGCAGCCAAATTTGGGGGAAATTTTTTTTAATGAAAATGGAGAAAAAGAATTTTAAGTGTTCCGTTTTTCGACGATTTTGTCAAACATACTTGTCTATACAGGGTTATTCATAAATATGAAGCAATATTTGAACCTCAAAAATGACCTGTAAAATGATGTTAATTTAAATAATAACTCGTGTCCTATCTCCACTGATAAGAATTTTACAGCCCTCGGAATGTGGGTATGGAAATTTGATTTTTTTGTAATAACTTTGGAACTATTTCACCAAAGATTATAAAATTTGGAACATTTCCCTGTGACAACATACCTTTTAAACTGGTAATCACGAAAACCGGATACATCCACTCAATTTCCGGTTCCAGCAGTTGCAGGTCACATTTTCAGTGTTTTTCCATTTTTTTGCTCTCTTAACACCAATTTTTTATTGGCCAAATCGATAGAGTAATCAATTTCGATTAATATTAACCTTTAATACCCCTAAAATAAACCGTTTCAAAGATATTTTAATTTAAACTGAGGACTGCACAACGCTGAAACCAAAAAGTAGGGATTTTGAATAAGTGGTATCCACGGCAACCAATGACTACGGTCACATAAATCCCTGCCAGGCATCGGTTAACTTTGACGATAAATTTTTGTGAATTTTTTATGAATTAAATGCTACGGAATCCATTTGGATTTATTCTAAGTTATGTTTGGAATCTGACGTAAACTCTTTTATTAAATATTTTCGATTAATTGTCTAATAATCGTCCAATGTCAAAGTTGACAGATGCCTGACAGCGATTAGTGAGACCATGATCATTTGTTACCGTGGATATCATCCATTCAAAATCCCTACTTTTTGGTTTCAGCGTTGTGCAGTCCTTAGTTTAAATTAAAATATCTTTGAAACGGTCCATTTTAGGGGTATTAAAGGTTATGCGTTTTTTATTCGAAATTGATTACTCTATCTATTTGGGCTATAAAAAATTGGTGTTAAGAGAGCAAAAAAATGGAAAAACAGAAAATGTGACCTGCAACTGCTGGAACCGGAAATTGAGTGGATGGATCCGGTTTTCGTAATTACAAGTTTAAAGGGTATGTTGTCACAAGGAAATGTTCCAAATTTTATAATATTTGGTCAAATAGTTCCAAAGTTATTACAAAAAAATCAATTTCCATACCCACATTCCGAGGGCTGTAAAATTCTTATCAGTGGAAATAGGACACGAGTTATTATTTAAATTAACATCATTTTATAGGTCATTTTTGAGGTTCAAATATTGCTTCATATTTATGAATAACCCTATATATTCATTAATATAAGTTTTCGTTATTGCATACAAGGCAACATGGTGTCAAGTCCATGTTAGCCATGTCCAAAAGGGGCCAAGCCCTTATAAGGGACCCCTTTTACTACCAATGAATTTGTGCTGCCTCCATACTCCTACTCTGGTACAATAATAATAATATGCTGTTGAATTTTAAACCTTTTTAAAAATATATTTTTAGGTCTGATACCAATCATTGCCAAAAAGTTTAAGTGCCTGCAAGACTTAAAGAGATTCTGCGGTGTTGAAGCACAATCATTTTTCGAAAACATTCCCAAAAATTAGTAATACCTCTTATTATAAAATGTTTTATAATACAATAGTTTGTATTCACTTCTTTGGACTTAACTCCTTTTGGACATTTATTTTTGGTAGTTTCAAACATAATTTCTTAATTTTGTGTTCTTTTCTTCAAATAAAAGTTTATTTTTTGTCTATTGTTCTAAGTAAATACCCAAAGTAAATCCTTGAATCAACAAAATTTCTAAATTTTGAACCATTTTAAAAAAAAGCAGTTTTCAAATTTAAATTCAGTCTTACGCGAAACGAATAATTTGTGCCCCTTATGGACCTGTACCCTTCATATGATATCTCAAAATGCCTAACTTTAAAATCTGACGTGCTATGGAATTTTCTTTATCATTTTTGAGTTTAGCACATAGAATTGAACAAAAAATAACTGTTTTCTTCTCAGTCACAAAATGCTTGTGGGCTAGTGTTATTATTCGTGCTTTCAAAATATCTCACTGAGTATATTACTGCAATAAAAAGTAAAGAGCTAAGTCTTCAGTGAGAGAAAGCTCTTTGAAATTATTTGCGTCCGTGTTGCATAAAAGATATTTTTAAGTTCTCTAAACCACCAAATTGATTTAAAAATTTGGTAAATATAAAATACAGGTTGAGTCATATGTATATAGAACATTTTTTACAGGATCAGTTTCTTTTGAGACGAGAGAGCTTGCGGCTTGGTCTCAAAAAATAGAATTGATGGCGAGTTTTGAGTTCAAAAAATACTAATTTTTATAAAGCAAAAGATTTAAAATTGTAATCGAAATAATGAAACAATAAAACATTTAAACAAAAAATTTTCATAATTTTATTAATGGAGATGGAAAAAAAACTCGTTACATTTGTTTCTGTTTTATTTGTACAACAGCCAAAAAACGAGATTAATGGTAAAGCATCAAGTGCAAAATTTAAGAACTTTATAATTAAAAACAAATACAATTTAAAAACAGACATTGATATAAAACTGTTTACACATTAATAAAGAACAAAAAAAAAAAAAAAGAAATACATACTTGACGTAAATAGGTACATTTTGTACTTGTTGCATTTTCCATTGTCTCTTTAATCCAAAGTACAGTAACCACACGCAATTTATAATTAAATTTCGCCAAAGAAAACTGAAAAGAGCCAAAACGTATTTAGATCAAATTTTAAAAACAAGTATTTACAAAATTCCCTAAACACCAATGCTTTAGTTATTGAATCAGTCAATTGCACAATTTCTGTGTTTGGAAGCCATTATTTAACCGAGTTGCGTCTTCTTGCGACGTTCATGTGCAAACAAAAAAATCAATTAAAACTGACAAATACTCAAGTTTAAAATACTAGATTTGTACTTGTATATCTAATACTATTGCATGTTTTACTATAACGAAATGTTGATAAATGAATGTTATCTTTGAAATTTAAGTATTAAATGTGCATTTATGACTATGTAAAACTTGAATCACTCCTCTATTGTTATTATCGACTCACGGCCTTTCCCAACACCAATCCATTTCACTGAAACACATATTTAGCACGGACACAAACCAAAACAAAACATACCTGGCACATTAACCAATTGTTCAACCTTGTTGACGTACTTTTTCGCATTTTCCGGCAAGTCGTTGAATTTACGCACATTTTCAGTGGAGGTTTTCCAACCCGGAAGTGTCATATACTCAACCTTGAAAAAACAAGAAGAAGATCGCGACAATGCCAACTGTGGTTATTTACCTCAACTTCGGCAAGCTCGGCCGCACTGGACGGAAAATAATCGATCTTTTTTCCCTTTAGCTTATAACCAACTCCTAACTTAATTTCAGGCAAAGTGTCTAAGATGTCAAGTTTTGTTAGGCACAGAGCAGTATAGCCATTAACAATGTTAGTGTATTGGAGGAGAAAGACATCCAACCAACCACAACGCCGTTTTCGCTTTGTTGTAACACCGACTTCGGCTCCTCTTTCTTGCAAACAATTACCGATTTTCTACAATGTTAATTAGTTTTACAGTTTCCTACTTTTCTTAAATAGTTACATCACGTAATTCGGTGGGGAAGGGGCCATCCCCAACACGGGTCGTATAGGCCTTGACGACTCCAATAACCTCTCCGATTCTATTAGGTGATAAACCTAAGCCTGTACACACCCCACCCACGCTACAATTGGAAGAAGTAACATAAGGGTAAGTACCTGAAACGATAAACTGTAGAAATACCGTGAGAATTTTTCTCCAGTTATTAATCAGTCAAAAATGAATTTGAAAAAACTCACCAAAATCAATATCAAGCATTGCAGCATTAGCACCTTCAACTAGAACCTTCTTCCCAGATTTTATCGCCTTATCAAGATACGAAACAGTTTCATAAACCAAAGGTCTCACTCTCTCGGCATAAACCTTATACCTTGCCAACTCGCTTTCGACATCTACCGTCAACGATGGGAACATTCTTTGGTACACAGTAACCAATCCTTGGAACCTTACATATGATTATTGTAGAAATATTAAGGCTAAAGGGGACGACAGAGTTAAGGCTAGAGGGGAACATGTTTTAGTTTGTTGCTAAAGCGGCAGATGGAGCGGAATTTATATTTCTATTTTCTCTTTAACTATTCACATTTTTTATAATTGAAAAAAAGTTTCGTACATAAAATATTATTTGAAAACTCGCCAACGTAACACTTTTTTAATTTTTGTTTTTTTTTTTTTAACAGGTATAATAGAAAATATTTTTGAAAAAACAAGGTAGGGCGACGAATCACCATTTTTTACTGAAAAGAAAAGTGTTTAATTTTTAAAATTCGATAACGGGAAAGTCATCAAAACACGAATTTTGTATCGTCTTTTTGATGTTCGGCCGAGCCGCATTTTTTGCCCAACCCTTGTTGCAGCTGTGAGGGAGGTGATGTTTGGAAGCAACCACTACCCAAGAATACGGTATTTTTAAATAAGGCAAACTCTTATACCAAAGTGCTGAGGTAGGTTTACAAAATTTAATTACAAATATTTGAATTCGCGATTAAGTTGACATGTGACAATGAAAAAAATCTGGAGTGAAGATCACACGATTAGGGCTTCAGCAGGTGATAACAACATTGTTGATGATGATTTTGGGGAACCAAAATTGGTCACAATATTGCGAAGTGAATTTTTTCTCTTAGAAAAAAGCTAGAAAAAATAAAACGTTACTAGAAACGGCCAAAAAGGAGAAAACTGCAAACAACTAGATTTGAATTCAAATATTCTCAAAAAAGAAGTTAGAGATTTTGTAGCAAGTTTGAATGTAACAGAAAAGGAACGAGACTTTATCGAAAACGCTACTAGGGAACAAAGTGGATCTAACAGTTGGTTTAATGAAAGAAAGTATAGGATCACCGCCTCGAAAATAGGAAAAATAATTAAAAAAAAAAGAACAGTTCTTGGGCTCCCTTAGTTCGATCGTTTTTATACAGTGTCCCAGATTTTAGGGCCGGTGCAAAAATAAATATTTCCAATTAATTTAAAAAAAATTGCTAGTGCAAACGATAGAGTATATAGACTTCAGTTTGATGCTTTAATATTGTTCAAAATTTTTGGCGTAAGTCAGTGGGACTTTAAAAACTAAATTTGGAAAAAAAAATTAATTGGAATCTTTTCCACATTATAAAATTGCTTGATTTTTTCTAATGGTCACTATGAAAATTGGATAATGTAAAAGTTGATAGATTTTGTGTAATTAACATTTTAATATTGAAAAGTGGGAATTCTGGAAATTTTTTTTTGAAAAAAATATTAAAAACAGGTATAATGGAAAATATTTTTGAAAAAACAAGGTAGGGCGACGAATCACCATTTTTTACTGAAAAGAAAAGTGTTTTATTTTTGAAATTCGATAATGGGAAAGTCATCAAAACGCGAATTTTGTATCGTGTTTACATTTTTAAATTAGGCAAATTCTTATACCAAATTTCCTGAGGTCAGTTTACGTAATTTAATTACAAACAAATATTTGAATTCGCGATTAAGTTGACATGTGACAATGAAAAAAATCTTCGGCAGGTGATAACAACATTGTTGATGATGATTTTGGGGAACCAAAATTGGTCACAATATTGCGTAAGTGAATTTTTTCTCTTAGAAAAAAAGCTAGAAAATATAAAACGTTACCTACTAGAAACGACCAAGAAAACTGCAAACAACCCGATTTGAATTCAAGTATTCCCAAAAAAGTTAGAGATTTTGTAGTTAAGTTTGAATGTAACAGAAGAGAAACGAGACTTTATCGAAAACACTACTAGGGAACAAAGTGAATCTGACATTTGGTTTAATGAATGAAAGTATAGAATCACTGCCTCGAAAATAGGAAAAATAATTAAAAGAAGAAAAACCAGTTCTTGGTCTCCCTTAGTTCGATCGTTTCTATACAGAGTATCCCACGTTTTAGAGCCGGCCCAAAAATAAATATTTCTAATTAATTAAAAAAAAAATTGCTAGTGCAAACGATAGAGGATTATGTAGACTTCAATTTCACGCTTTAATATTGTTCAAAATTTTTAGCGTAGTTAGTGGGACATTAAAAACTAAATTTGGAAAAAAAATTAATTCCACATTCCACATGATAAAATTGCTTGATTTTTTCTAATGGTTACTATGAAAACTGGATAATGTAAAAGTTGATAGATTTTAAGTAATTAACATTTTAATATTCAAAAGTGGGAATTCTGGAAATTTACGGCCAAGCTTGGGATGATGTGCTGCTAATGCATTGACAATAGAGTGGAGGCTTCACAACAGAGCTTGGGTACGTCATAAATGTCATTGCGGAACTTTTTTTTCTCCCAAGAAATTCTGGCCTGATCACCAATCACCAATTACTCTGTCGTCCCCTTTAGCCTTAAACCAAGTATGCAACAAAGACAAGTATATTGAAATTTACTTGGCTGTTTTTAGCGATGTTTTTGAACCAATTTTAAATCAAAAATTGAATTCAGTTTTAAAGACAGAATTTTCGCCAACGTAACACTTAAAAAAATATTTAATTTTTTTTATTCAAATTTTATAGAAATATTCATAATATTTAAAAAAAAAACGCCTAGGGGAAAGATGTACTGTGATGAACGAATAGAATGCGACCAAAAAACTGAAAAAATTATTATTAGTTTTTGACGAAACGCGAATATTCATTTCACTTTGACAAAATTTGGCTAAGATGTAAGTATACACCAAGGTCGCAATATTACTCGCAACAAAAATTTGTCAGAGAAGAGTTCAGTTACATTCAAATAAAAAAATACAAAAGTGGAACAGAAAGTAATAAATAAATGTCATAACTTTTTTCAATGTAAACAATTTGAAATCAATAAAACGCTATTTTTTTCTATTCTTTTTCTGTTTTCCTTATTTTCATTGACTTGCATAGCCTAGGTTCTAGTATTTCTGGTACTAAGGCCTTTTGGTAAAAATATTTTATCTTGGGTAAATTTTTTTCTCATAACTTGGGGTCCGGAAAAATGCGATCAATCGAAATATTTTGTTCTGCCCATAAAATAAAATCACAATTTTTTTTATTGGTGACCCGTAATTGAGTTTGGACCTGGTAATAATAATCGTGTTGTTTTTTTTCAATTTATTGTTTTTGTCTAGATAAAAATGAGGTCTATCTCTTATGGCTTCTTCGATGGTTTTATTTTTTTTCAAAAAAAGAACACTGAAAGGAAAAGGAAACTGAAATATTTTCTACATGATAAAATTCTTTGAATTTTGTCTGTGGTATCTGTGAAAATAGAATAATGATAAAGTTGATAGGTTTTGAATAATTAACATTTTAATATTGAAAATCTGAAACTTGGAATAATTTATGGGAGGGTTTGCGGTAATTGGTGATCAGGCCAGAATTTCTTGAGAAAACAAAAAGTTCCGCAATGACATTTATGACGTACCCAAGTTCTATTGTGAAGCCTCCATTTTATTGTCAATGCATTAGCAGCACATCATTCCAAACTTGGCCATAAATTTCCAGAATTCCCACTTTTCAATATTAAAATATTAATTACCCAAAATCTATCAACTTTTACATTACCCAATTTTCATAGTGACCATTAGAAAAAATCAAGCAAGCAATTTTATCATGTGGAAAAGATTTCAATTAATTTTTTTTTCCAAATTTGGTTTTCAAAGTCCCACTGACTTATGCAAAAATTTTTGAACAATATTAAAGCATCAAATTGAAGTCTATATAATCCTCTATCGTTTGCACTAGCAATTTTTTTTAAATTAATTGGAAATATTTATTTTTGCACCGGCCCTAAAACCTGGGACACTCTGTATAGAAACGATCGAACTAAGGGAGACCAAGAACTGGTTTTTCTTCTTTTAATTATTTTTTCTATTTTCGAGGCGGTGATTCTATACTTTCTTTCATTAAACCAACTCAGATCCACTTTGTTCCCTAGTAGCGTTTTCGATAAAGTCTCGTTTCTCTTCTGTTACATTCAAACTTGCTACAAAATCTCTAACTTCTTTTTTGAGAATACTTGAATTCAAATCGGGTTGTTTGCAGTTTTCTCCGTAGTCTTCTTGGTCGTTTCTAGTAGGTAACGTTTTATTTTTTCTAGCTTTTTTCTAAGAGAAAAAATTCACTTACGCAATATTGTGACCAATTTTGGTTCCCCAAAATCATCATCAACAATGTTGTTATCACCTGCTGAAGCCCTAATCGTGTGATCTTCACTCCAGATTTTTTTCATTGTCACATGTCAACTTAATCGCGAATTCAAATATTTGTTTGTAATTAAATTATGTAAACTGACCTCAGGAAATTTGGTATAAGAGTTTGCCTTATTTAAAAATGTAAAGACGATACAAAATTCGCGTTCTGATGACTTTCCCGTTATCGAATTTCAAAAATAAAAACACTTTTCTTTTCAGTAAAAAATGGTGATTCGTCGCCCTACCTTGTTTTTTCATTATACCTGTTTTTAATATTTTTTTCAAAAAAAAAAACAAAAATTAAAAAAGTGTTACGTTGGCGAGTTTTCAAATAATATTTTATGTCCGAAACTTTTTTCCAATTATAAAAAAAATCTGAATAGTTAAAGAGAAAATAGAAATATAAAATCCGCGCCATCTGCCACTTTAGCAACAAACTAAAACATGTTCCCCTTTAGCCTTAAACAAAAATGAAGACACACTACTTTTTGCTAAATTGTGAAAAGTCGCCCAAAAGTTCACCAATCCGAATCCCATTTCTGGTCGCTTTCGACGAATAGGTTGGTCCAATTCCTTTCTTGGTGGTACCCAAACCTTGCCCCTTTTGGGTATTTTCTTGTTCTTGAAGGCCATCGACTTGTTGGTGGAAATCGAAAACGAGATGAGCACGATCGGAAATGATCAATCGACTTTCCCAATCTTTGAGACCTTTTTTTTCATTCTTTTCCACTTCTTCGAAAAGACCAGGTAAGTGGATGACGACGCCGTTACCTGAATTGCAAATATGGTTATTTTATTAACAAATATTTAACTTTTTATATTGTTTAATTAACCTTCGAAATGATTAGTGACAGTTCTACGGTACCATTCTCTAAATGGTATGAACGCGACGATAAAATAATGATATTTGGTGAGATCATGCAACAAATAGATTGGAATTTTATTATTATTCGGGGGTTTTACAGATTACCTTTTCATCATTCTTCGCTATTGATTAGAGCAATCTATTTTTGAAAATATAAAGAGTAATAATTGTTATGACACGCAACTTCTCAATGTTTTGGTAAAAAAATGTTTAAAAAAAAAACTCCTTCCGTATACCCACTTTTTATATTGGTTTCATTATCTGTTTATTGAAGCTTGTTAAAATAATCTGCACAATTAAACATATTCTTGGAAAGTTACTGCACCATTGAATAGTTCATGTTTACAAGTTTATGTCTGGAATGAATATAAACAATTTTATTCAATATTAAGAATTATCACATAGTAAAAAATCCTAAAGAAAAAAAAAATTCAATATTTTTTGGACATAGATTGAATGCAAAACAGATTTCAACGACTTTGATCTAATCATCATTTAGACCGCGTGTAATTATGTTTTGTACATACAAAAATGCAACTTAAATGTGTTCTGCACTTTACTTTTTACGTCACTAGTGTTCAAGGTGTTTTTTGTACAGTTGTGGAATTAAAATTTCGGGCAGTATTGTCATTTTCACAATGTAAACTCTAAAACAACCTTTACATTAATAACCTCATTTTTTACTCTTGTCATATTTATGTCATTTTGACTTAAAGAATAACGTCACTGACAGAAAACTTTAATTGTCAAATGTCAGTCATGAATGTCATGATGACAGTAAAAGGTAGTTTACAGTGAACTTTTTGAAGTGACAGAAATATACTGCCCGAAATTTCATGAACGTATGTCTTGGATTACACATTCTGACATATTTATCAAATATTTGTCAAATTTATCAATTTTTGAACATTTGTTTTGCGTTAAGTATTGACTAAAACCATTTTTTTTTCTATAACAAACTAAAAGTTACAATTGACATCATACTGTCGTGAGCATCATTACAATATTCTACCTACCCTCTGTAATATGTATGTACAGAGTGTCCCAATGAAAATGAGCCACCTCCAATATCTCAGAAACTAAAAAGATTTTGCAAAAACGCCGAAACAGGTCAATTATGTTTTCGAAAGGTACATTTTTGACGTAATTTTTAAAGCCCCCTAACCCCCACGTACCCCAACTTTAAAAATTTAAATGGCACTACCCCATTTGTGACACATCGAATGAAAGCTATTTAAACAAACCCTTTTTTTTTCAAAAGAATATTTTGTGACACAATTTGAAAAGCACCCCCACTAACTCTTAACCTCTATGCCAATTAACTCTACAATGTCAAATAGCACCACACTAGTGATACTTAAAATGAAAACACTTTAAATGCTTTTTAAAAGCTTTTTTCCAAAATGAAATGATTTTTATACATTCATAAAATATCGGCAAAAAATAATCTTTCAGCAGTCAATATGCACAAATGAACCTAAGAACTATTGCTATTTTTTAGGTACTAGGCAGGGTCGTAAATTATCGCATTGCAAATTTGACGTAATTTCAAGATAAACGCGAAATGAAAATTTAGTTCA